ATATGATCAACAACAAAAAATTCAAACTTGACAGAAATACTTTTCCCAATAAAATACGGAACATAGACATGCAGTCGTAAATTTTCCAAAATTACAATTGCTGTTTATCAACTTTGATATGATTATGAATGTAACGATTACTTGAAGAGTGTTTTAGACGAGATAAATTTACTGATTTAGTTTAACCATATGAACTATTGTCGAATTCCTCATGTTTGACTATATATTTACGTAATCGTTCAAAAAGATGCTAATGAATGTGATGAAATGAATGTTTGGTATATCAGTTAGCTTAGTCAATGAATATCAATAAAAGCAGCTATTATGTTTAATTTGTCTTTTAATATCAATGTCATCACCGTGTCCGCACAAATGGATTACTTATATACCCCTTTATAGTACTATATACACGTCTTCAATAATGTTTCCAAGTTAAATTAAGAAATATAACCGAGATATTATACTGAAACTAGTGTCAAACTAGTAAGTCATTATTTGGTAGTAAGAATATTCGTTTTAAATTACTATTAGAAACGTTTAAGTCCACAAAGTCAACTGATCTCCTGCAAATAGTAGAGATACCTTGAAAGGATAGGTTATAATAAGTACATGCATAATAAAGCATTAAACTACTACTGTCATTTTGAAAAGGATGATTTAACTGTTACAGTATTACAGCTAACTTAAAAATATTTGCCACTGGTAACTTAACAGATATTATTTGTTATTGTTAGGCAAGAGATGAAAATGATCCAGAAAAGAAATTAAAACTACGTAAAAGAAGTTTAGCCTATTTGGAACGATACTTCTTTCTAATTCTCTTCAATGCATACCTTCATGATCAACAACCTAAACGGTGGAAAATTTCATTTGAAGTTTGGATTGAACACGTAAGTTGTTGGGTTCTTTTTTAAATCTTCAAATTATGAATATTGTTTACTACAGTGATTAATTGGAGCCATTTAGTAAACATCCATTTTTGTGCAAATAAAACTAATATTTACAAGAAATGAAAATTCCCGTAAAATTTTCAAAATTATTTCACTTGATATTGTTTACTTGAATCTTCACATTGATATTTAGGACTGCGATTGATCAGTCTCTTATTGGCATATGTACATAATCTGTGTATTGCCTCAACATTGTCTTAAGTCAAAAACTTTATAAGCAAAGATGGATGGTGGTTAGCAGTAAAATCGAAGACGCGCATTTTGTCCTATTCGGAACTCGTCAGCTGGGCGTACCTGCGTTCGAGTTGGTGTCCACTCTGGAGCTCGAACCCAGTACCGTTCGCTTCAAACGCCACTTAGCTACTGAGTCACGTTAGCCATCTGCCTGTGCAATGGAGTGAATTTTAAATTCACTTGGTATTGTTGACTTGAATCTTCCCATTGATATTTAGGGCTCCAGTTGATCAGTCTCTTATTGGTATATGTGCATACTTTACGTCAATAAACGTAATTAGCTACCTACATATTTTTAATCTAGTGGATATCACTTAGGTGCCTCTCCTGAAAGGTTTACATTTCAGTTATATCATCATAGATTAAATGTACTGAAGTGCTTGAAGACATGAAATAAAATATTTATCCGAAAGTTCACCAACTGCTATCACTGAATACATAACATATTTATGTGGTGACAGATTTAATATACTACTTATTGTGTCAATCTTTAATATAAATTTGATTTCCACAATCAGTATAGGGTTGTGGAGATTAGTAAATTTTTGATTGAGATCATGAATTGATTGATGTTAAACTACCATTGAAAACCTGGAAGCACTGGGTGGCCGTTTCGTCCTATTGTGGGGCTCCTCAGAAGTGCTCAGTAATTAATACAATAAATTTATCACAGTTACTAATACCTGATTATCCTTTAAAAAATATTTTTTCTCACATTATTACGCATTAATTCAAGGATTTGTTTAGTTTAATTATGTTACAGAAGTAAAAGACCAAATATAACAGTAAATAATAAATAACAATATTGTGATACAAATTATACTTTTTTTGTATCGGTATATTTTTCAAGTATTTTATTACATATTTCCTTCATTGAAATGTAAATGTCGTTAATTTCTGAAAGGTTGATTGTTATTCAACTCAATGCATTAAAACATTTGATTGTTATACTCGAATAGGATTAGATGCAATACCTAAACCTTCATAGTTTTATTTGATAAACTGTTTTTAATGAAAGCTTTCTATTATAGAGCTTAAAAATTTAACTTATCAGAGTAATTCTAAGAAATATAAAACTACAGAGGTAAATCTTCTGATAATTTATTATTATTGAACAATTATAAAAAGTAGTAGTAGTAGTAGTATTAGTCGTAGAAGTAGTAGTAGTAGTAGTAGTAGTAGTAGTAGTAGTAGTAGTAGTAGTAGTAGTAGTAGTAGTAGTAGTAGTAGTAGTAGTACTAGTAGTAGTAGTAGTAGTAGTAGTATCTGTTAGATACATGAAGTGAAATTCATAAATCTAAGGTGAATGTAATTGAAGATGAACAAATTGAAAAGTAAATTAATCAACAACAACAAAAAGGATAGAATGTTATATTACGCTTTCTAGATAATATTCTGTACACTGAAAGGTATATCTTCCTTTAATTTTAATGTATAGCTATAATTATTAAAACTATAAACCAATCAAATATTTTATCTTTTTATGAATCTATCAGAAGTAAAGCAAAGAAATCTGATATATTCATCACTGAACTCTGGTTTATTTAAGTTTATCAAAGGGGAAATTAGTTACATAAACTTTTTAGATTTTTTCTATTGACTTGACAACTGAAGAGTTTTTTTCTATTTAATTTTTAAATTAATTAGATATTTGTATTTTCTTTTGTTTTTCTGGTAATTTTGTTATTGATAATGCCATTATTATTATTATTATTATTATTATTATTATTATTATTATTATTATTATTATTGTAGGCTACACATCAAGTATACTTTATGGATATATTAGATAATTTTGGTTTTCCTGAATTTGAAGAACCAGATAAACTCAAACGTATTCGTGAACGTTGGCGGCCAGATGGTTCAAAACATCCTGCTTTAGTTGGAGATTTTACTTAATTCAATATTTTAATAACTAACAGCATGCACTTTATAAATAATAACCATATACATATATATAAAACTTTATTAAATACATGTATTCATACATCTCTATTCTAACTTACAGAATGTTTTTTTACATTATTTCTCAGTTTCTCTGTTATTTAAGTGTAGTAATAGAAAACATGAATGTCTTGTTATTTCTGTACTGTGTTTCTGTTCAAATAAAATACTGAATATATATATCCATTGAAGTATCTATTTAAGCCAGCCCACAAAAGAATCTAATGCATTTGTGTCGAATGCACAAATATCCAGTTCATAAGAAAGAATATGCACCATTTAATTAAGTTTATTTCAACCTTGGTTAGGTTATATATCTACTTATTTATTTACTTACGCCTGTTACTCCTAATGAAGCATAGGCCACCCACCAGCAGTCTCCAACACAATCTGTCCTGGGCCTTCCTTTCCAGTTCTGTTCAATGTTTGTTCATCCTTCTCATGTCTGTCTTCATTTCTTGAAGTAATGTGATCTCTGGTTTTCTTCTTCTCCTTTAGCATTAAGGATTCCATGTGAGGGCTTGTCTTGTGACGCAGGTGGGTGCTTTCCTCAATGTGTGTCCTATCCACTTCCAGCGCTTCTTCCTAATTTCTTCCTCCGCTGGGATCTGGTTTGTTCTCTCCCATAGTAGGTTGTTGCTAATAGTGTCCGACCAACGGATCCGAAGTATTTTGCCTAGATAACTGTTAATAAACACCTGTATTTTCTGGATGATGGCTTTTGTTGTCTCCAGGTTTCTGCCCCATACAGTAGAACTGTCTTGACATTTGTATTGAAAATCCTGACCTTGGTGTTGGTTGACAGTTGTTTTGAGTTCCAGATGTTCCACAGTTGTAAATATGCTGCTCTTGCTTTGCCGATCCGCGCCTTCACATCTACATCAGATCCATCGTGCTCATCAATGATACTTCCCAGATATGTGAGGGATTTTACATCTATCTTGCATATATTTAATTTTATTTAATATACCATTTCGGTACAGAACTTTTAATGTTTGTGTTCTTGGTATACTTAATTTAAAATATAATATTTCTTTTATTTATCTAAACAAGAAAATGATCATGCATTGAATACTAGATGAATTAAGTTAATATTGTAATCGTTGAGTAACATGGCTCAGAATAAGTCAAAATGGATCAGATTCATCTTGTAAATCTTGAACTTCTGCATTCCTTTATACACACCTTACCATCCATCTTTTGGAATTATATTCTCAGTGTTTAGTCTTTTTTATTATCATTACTTCTATATTATTTCAACCAATTTGCTATCCGTTTTGTCATTTTCATCTCGGCATATACTAGTTATTCTGTACGAACCTGAGCTAACTCAAATCTATATCAAGCTAAAGGTTGATGATTTCTGTCTATTTGTAAGACATTGTATTGTTTTCTGAAGACATGAAAACCTAGGTCAGGACAATCGATATTCAACATATAAACGTATGAGTATATCTAATCTCATGTAATGATGAAAACCCTAAGAGGAATTGAAACATTTCAGCTTATCTAAGATCCTGTATATGTGTATATGACAATTATATTAGATGCTATAAAACCCGAATTTAGAACATCATATTGTTTAAGTTCATTAATCCAAAAGAAAATATGCCCAGATATACAACCAAAACAATTTTTCATACTTTTTATATAATAATATTATTCAAACTAGAATACTTTCAAGAGTATAATCTGTAATGTACTCTCTATAGATTTTAGACTAGTCTTATGTAAAATACATAAAAATTTAGTAAGTTTCGATTATTTTCACTAATAGACGATATGAAATAAATTCATGTACAATGAGTTTAGGTAAAAAAAAAAGAACAAAAGATTTACAGTGAGAATATGAACAATCAGATATATTGATCTTTAGTAACCTTCACGTTTAACATAAGCATAATGTGTTGATTCCCAAATGCCCAATTTTCGATTACCTCTTTCCACCATTCCAGTTAATAAATAACCACGATAAAAATCAGCATCTATTATATTTGTAGTTAAAAATAAACAAAAATGTGGCATCTTTTGTTGTTTACCAGCTGAATCTTGTTTAAATTTCCCAGTGATAAACATTGAACCTTCTAATTTAGTAAATGTAACATGTCCAATAGTTTCATATCTTTTTGTTCCTCCACTAGTCATCTACAGCATAAAGATAAAATAATAAAGAATAATTTATTAATTATTTAAGTTATAAGTATCTAATCACTTCTGATTTCTAGACGGTTATACACCAGCACACTAGGTGATTTGAATAACTTAGTGTTATTAAAGATAATGGACTCTATTTGCTAATCAAAAAAGAATATATTAGAGTTTTCACTTATAATTGTTTACACCCAAAACTGATTCCAATCGATTTGTTGACTAATCCCAACAACGGCTACTGATGTCATATCAGAAAAATAAAGAATAATAATCGGTTACATTTATGAGTACAAGATGTAATCTAATACAATGAAAGTTGTTGTCATCATTCATCTTCAGCTTATTGTTCAATTAATGTTGTAAATTGGTATCTTCGAGTTAATAGAACTAAAAATTTTGTTTTATAAAAATGGTTATATTAGAATTAATAACGTTTTCGAAAGAAATAACAGTCATTATTTACTCTGACCTTTACTGATATCATCAGATGTTGTTTACTTTTTAGTATTCATTTATTTCAACACAAATATTGGTACAAAGGGGTACTGAATACATATGCGCCACACAATTCACTTTATTTGTAAGTGGGTTGTGATATTGCCCGTGTGCCCAAACTTGAACAAGTGATTTTCTTAGAGGGCCACACCTGACATAAAGGTCTGATCCACAAGGCAGCGGAGCGACGTCGAGAGATGCAGTCCCATGGTAGCAGGCGACCAATAATTAGTTCATACACCATTTGTCCCCTCAGAGTCCTGGAGCCCATGTGCACGATTGGTTTGGAATCATGATTTTCCAACTCCCCAAGATAGATATTCCGTATCCACCAGACCGGTTAAAGTGCCAGACATCCACTTTTCGTCCTCTCAATTTCGTAAACAACAGTCCCATCGCAAGGAGGCAGTGAGTAGGAATTCCCTGGTAGTGGCTGTATACGCGTGGCCATGTGAGAGCATTTCGAGAGGGAGAGGTGACTCTACCCACCCTCGACCGTACCGGGGCATGATTATGTACACAATATTTATGACCTTCAATAAATCATGCTATATGATTTATATCTATATTATGAAGTCTGTTTGTGAATTCTGACTAAAGGTCTATTTCCGTGATCAGATTCACTAAGTGATGAGTAAATATTTTTGTTAGATTACTCTAATGACGAACTAATGAGGAGTGATGAAGACGATAAGAGCTTATTAATAAATATCTTTGTGCAATCAATGTGACAAAGCATGGAATTCAACTTATAGAAAGTGTTTGTTCCTTCTAGTGTGAATTTTATTTAAAGCTTAATGTATTATAAGTTTGTCCATGTTAAGCTTATTCAAAGTGAACTAACAATATGCTATCATTTATTCAGTAAATCATATGAATTCTAATATCCTAAAATTATCGTGAAACAGTCAGAAATTTTATCTGTACGATTCCTAAATCCTTACTTCGTATTATAGTTTCTAGAAACTTCCAGAAAGTTTGAACAATATTGAAAAGTCGTCCTATATCTCATTACTACCCTTTTATCACCCGGATTCTTCCATGATATTGTACGTTGACTAATGTTTTACACTGTTTCATCAGTTTTTTGGTCTATGTCCTGTATTTTGTATGAAATCATTTGTTTTCTATGTTACTTATATCTCAAAATGATCTGTGTCAAACATCCATTGCGAATTAAGACCCACTGGATATCTATTTCTACTTAGTACGAGACTCCTCAGAAGTGTACACTCATGACCCTATCGAGGATCGAACTCAGTAACTTTTACCTCACAGAATATTATTAGCTTCTAAACTGTTGAACTGGCATTCAGTGGTGTACATGTCTAACTTCAATGAATTCATAACATCACGTATCTTCCAAACAATTTGAAAACAACGGCACTATACCTGACACATTTGAACTCTATTACTAAAATTGATTCACATACTAAAAATAATTCACCAATCAAATATGAACAGATAAACACCTTTTTGCTTTTGATACTGAATATTCAAATAAAAATAATTCTAATTTACTTGAATGACTTTACACCAATTACTTAGAAATCGATTAAATATTAATAACCATTTTGATTCAGAACTTGGATACGGCCAATTTTCACATGCTTCCAATTGAACTATAATTTTTTTCATACCATTACGTAATAAATGACTACAAGGTACTCCACGATTTTCATAATAAAAAAGTTGTACCATGAAATGGTTATTTTATTTCGATTAAATCTAATAATAGTTAAAATGTAAAGAATCAAAATATATTTTTAAACAATCTAGCATATACTGAAATAAAATAAAATAATCTCAAGCAATCAAATAAAAGAAAAAGAACAAAAAGCATCTATTTGGCAAAGATAGATGGTAGCTATTAGTGGAGTCCAGGACGGGTAATTCATTTTATTTGGGATTCATCTGCTGAATGTACCTGCATCCTAGAGTTGATGTTCAGTCCAAGCCAACAAGAAAAACAGAAATGTTAATTTCAATATTTAAGATCATGCGTCAATTGAAGCTAGACTGCCATGGGAAACCTGGAACCACTGGACGGCCTTCTCATCCTACTGTGGGACTCCTCCGTAGTGCGCATCCACGACCTCGCCTACCGGGTTTCGAACTCAGGACCTACTGATCCCGCTCCCGTGCGCTTAACCACTAGACCATTAAGCCAGCATCCAACGATGTTAATTTCTAACTTCAACTAATCCACGAAACTGAACGACACATCCATCATTGTCATCAGTGAGTTACTATCTCACAACTGATCCAGTTGAACTCCACTGATTGTTGCTTCTCACTAGAACTCCAGGATATACATCTTGAAGCCAGTTGTGAATGCGCACTTCTGAGGAAACCCATAATAGGATGAAACGGTCGTTCAGTGCTTCCAGGTTTTCCATGGTGGTCTAGCTTCAATTGACTCATGATCTCAACTGTTTAAATCACTAAAGTCTCCACAAAAGCCCTTCTGATAGAAATGTTAATGTCTAATGAATTTCATTTAATTATAATGCAAAATTCAAGACATATCAATAGATTATTTTATGCTGTCTATTTTTAAAGATTTTTCAATGATTAAAAACATTGTTGGTCTCAAAGTGATTTCCAGTGGCATTACAGTGACATTACTATCGCATGAAATTCTTTTTCTTATAAGTATATTGAATAATAATCTAACCAGTAAATATTTCGTTGTCGAACAAATTAAATGTTTTGAACAAAACTTTCTTGAAAAATTTCATATTAACCTCAATCCAAATAAAGTTTCTAAAGTTGTTAAACTAAATAAAATCTAGAATGTAATGAATAATAGTAATATTATTGTTCAAATATAGTAACGGGAAAACATACTGGGAATTAATCTTCAAAGGATAATAACGATTGATTTTGTCCAAATGAATCCTTTTATGATAAGAAGTTTAATATCCTGTCTCACATTAAATAGGGTTATGTATATAGTAAAAGTTAAACTGATATTGACATTTTGAATATGATACTTTTAAGACATAGAAATCAAGGAAATAGTCTCATTTCCACAACATATGCAAATAATCTCAACTGTTACTGTAATGGTCCTCAGGGTACATATTTAATTATCATACTTTTTTATAAACCTATTCGTAAATGGTAAGATCTATAAACAACAACTCAAAAGCCTAACTAGAGATTTCTATCCGTAACATAGTTTTCCGGTTTGTGACAAATCCCCGATGTACGAAAATGAATATCATATGACTTAGAAGTACCCTCCAAATAATGCTAAGGTCATATTTAGGATTACTCAACCAACCCCAAGAGATAAATGATATGGAATCAAGCTCTATTATTCTTAATTTTCGCATTCATTTCTTTGAAAAATGAAAAGTAACTACAGCCAGTATACCTTAGTACGTACAGAAACATAAAAGTCATAAATCTACACCGAATTATTCAAATACACTAGCCCACTTAATACCTCTTCAATGAATCCTATTTTGTTTCCTTGTAATTACCACAAAAATTATTTCACAAGTTTTAGATTTAAAATAAAAACTTAAATTCTTGGTTAATCTAGAGTACAGGTACGAATCAATCAGGCACAAATCAAAGATCTCAAAAAGTGATGACTCAACTTTTACTAATTTCAATGAGAACATCTGAATATATAATAAGAAGATATTGGATTGTTTAGGGAAATGTTATACGATTGTGAACACCAAAATACATTCAAAGAGTGTAAATGTAATTGAGAAAGAAATATAGAATATCGAAAGGGTAACTTGTTTATTAAGCTAACTATAGTAGGGTTTCGGTGTATAAAACAAGAACTTTCAAGGAAATAATTTTATAAAAGTTCTCAATAGAATGTTTTTCATCTTGTTAAGATATATGTTTGAATGAGAACAAAAGAGTATAAAGATGGTTGGAAAGAGTATGTATTTCTTTCCATATATGGATATGATTAAAAGCATAATTATTCTCACAATTTAAAAAGACATAAACTTATACTTTAGTGACCCGAGATCTGACTTCACTTATATCGTTTCTGATTGCTATAAAGGTATACATGTCTCCAATCCATGTATATAATTATCGACTTAAATGGCGTTAGCGTATAATGGAATTAAATAAGTCAAATATGAGAATAAAGTTTTGAATACTTATATTTTGTACCCATTATTCTAGACAAACAATCAGAAGAATGAAGTGAAATGACGTACAATGGAGAAGGTATGTAAGCCAGCTCGATTTAATCAAGCGTTAATCAATATTTATAGTTACACAAAAATAAGCTACATACATGTGATGAATAGGATAACAAGTGTACAAACATACACTCATGTAAAAACATTCAAGGTTAATAAGTAAATAATTAACAAGATCAAAACGTCACTCAAGAAGAATAAATAAATTGACCTGTGTAGAAGGTAGAATAAGTTATATAGGCTTAACATAGTAACCGACACTACAATATAACTAAGTTCTTTTATAAAACAAACTAACTTATGATAAATCTTGAGAAGGTTATAAGTCAAAGTATCTATACAAATTTTGTTTTTAGATTTCTTCATTATATCATTTTTATCATCTATTTCCTGATTGGTTTAAAGTATATATTACTTACTTACGCATGTTACTCCTAATGGAGCATACACCACCGACCAGCATTCTCCAACCCACTCTGTCCTGAGCCTTCTTTTCTAGTTCCATCCAATTCTTCTTCATTTTTCTCATGTCTATTTCCGTTTCCCGGCGTAGTGTGTTCTTTGGTCTTCCTCTTTCCCTTTGGCCTTGAGGATTCCATGTGAGGGCTTGTCTTGTGACGCAATTGGGTGCTTTCCTCAATGTGTGTCCTATCCACTTCCAGCGCTTCTTCCTGATTTCTTCCTCCGCTGGGATCTGGTTTGTTCTCTCCCATAGTAGGTTGTTGCTAATAGTGTCCGGCCAACGGACTCGAAGTATATATAGACTTATCATATATAAGAATAAACCAGTTATTCCTATATTCTATTTTCCAGTTAGTCATCCAGTAGATCATTTTATGCTTTAAGCAAATTTTCATTGACATTATAGTTCTTTTTAGACTCATTAATTTATTATAAGATAATTAGATTTTATATATAAAGTAAAAGAAATAAGTAGATAAGTACTTACAAATTGGTTAAAGTAAAGAATAATAATGATAATAATAATAAAGGTATAGAGTTTGGATGTAGATGAATGCTTCTTTGAACAAGTAACAATTTATTAGTTATTAGAAAGAAGAAAAAAAAGGGAACAATTTCCCTATCACCTATTGATTTCTCTTTACTTACTTAGCTTATATAATGAACAAATAAAATATTTTTTCAGAAAAAAAGGCAACATCATTTTTTTGGATAAACTTCTTTCCCTATTCATATTGTTATAGATGAGTTTATCGTTGTTTGTACAATTCATTATCATAATTATTGATAGTTGAAAGGATTTGAAATTTGCAAAAAAGTATTTCTATAATTAAATTTACGAGTCAATCTAAGCTAGATCATCGTTGGAAACCTGGAAACACTTGACTGCAGTTTTGTTCTAGTATAGGACTCTTCAGCAGTGAGCATCTATAACCAGGTTTTCGGGATTCGATCCCAGGGCCTTCATTCTCGCGCGCGAATGCTTAACCTCTAGATAACTGATTTGGCATCCAATGGTGTTAATGTCTTACTCCAACTAATCCAGTGATTCCGTGTTTTTAACTAGGTTAGATCAATTCATGAATTCAACTGTGAAAATATTTTTAATAAAATAACGAAAATGAATAAATATATAGTCGAAGAAAAATGAAGAAAATAATAAAATCGGTTAAGCATAAAGATGGGATAGGAAACAACTTGTTGAAATGCTTAAGTATTGTTAATCTCTTTTTACTTCAGTTATTCTGATATTAGTTTATAAGCTACTTAAATTTATTGAAGTATTTAATCTAATTTAAGTGGAAAAATCACTTGAATATTGATTACAGTTTTGGTGTATGCTACTTATGTGGACAGATGTAAGTAGTATGTAACACCGATCGGAAATGGAGAACCTGGTAGCAGAAATGATGGAAATTTGCAAATGAAGTATTCAGTGTATGGTTCTTATATTTAGGACCTATGTAAGTTAATATGTAATAGTTAGACTGATAAATAATTATATGGGGATATAATACTTTGATGAAATAAAAATGAATAACACAATTTAATGATGGTTTTTGCCATATTTCTCATTTGATTTAACTTGTGTAATACTGATGAATAAAAAAAGCCAACAACAGTATCTTCACTAATAACTTCAAGATGAGTTTCTGATCAAAAATTATTTTACTTTCCATTCTTTATAAATTCTTCAATGGAACATTGAATATTATCATATCAAGAAGAAACAGCTTATCAATCTCTATAGTCATCTCCTATCCTTCCAATTTGTGGTTTATTAGATAACAAAACATTTCAGAAATGATTATTTACTACTTTTATTGATCATCAATAAATATGATAACACAGATTGAAATCATGAGTCAGTTGAAGCTAGACCACCATGGAAAACCTGGAAGCACTGGATGACCGTTTCGTCCTAGCCTGGGACTCCTTGGCAGTGCACCTCCACGACACCGCACCCCGCGGGATTCGGACCCAGGACCTACTGGTTTCGCGCGCGAGCACTTAACCACTAGACCACTGAGTCGGCATCCAACGGTGTTAATGTCT